CAGCAGCTGGAACAGGAGAGAGATGGAGGAGCAAGAGCAGGCTGGGGTAGGCGGTCGCACCCTGCTGGGGCATTTTCTGGTTTGGCACCATGAACTGATTCCTGTCAGCCTCGTCAGCTGGAGTCGAGCTGAAGGAGAGCTGAGATTTACATGTCATCGGGGGTTCGATTGATCTGGGGCTTCACTTCGAACTCAGGTGGAGGCATTTCCATCTGCAACAAGAGCAACTCAACACGATGATGCAAGGAAGAGATGCGGAAGTTCTTGATAATGATCATCGAGATGTTCATAATGATAGGGAAGAAGACGATGATGACAAAAGTGATGATGATAGCGACGATGATGATAGGGATGATGATCACGACGACGTTCGTCGTTGTTGATGATGGATGTGTTGTTGACAACGTACCATTCCCATGTTGGAGCCTCCCATGTACTGCGGTCTGAACTCATCAACCTCCAGCCTGGACCACTCATCCCCCTGCTTCAAATCCCTTGAGCGTCCCTCTCGTCCTCTGCCTCATCTTACATTCCCAGGCGGCGGCATTCCTCCCTGCATCTGCCCGCCGAAGTCGTTCTGCATCTGATCACGAAGATGACCATGAGAACATTGAATCCCGCCCGGCAAGACCAAGAGGAGGACGAGGACGTGTTGGTGGTAGAGGGAGAGGAGGTGAGAGCAGGAAGGGAGGGGAAGCCGAGAACTCGATAGGGAGCACCATGGGAGGAGGAGGTGGTGGGGGAGCGGGAATGATCAAGAGCAAGTAAACCCGGGAGCAGCAGTGGGGACGGGAAACAGAGACAAGAAGATCAGCAGCGAGGGGCTGGGTATCACCTCGTTTCTTCCTCCATGGCTCATGCTCCCGTACTGACCTCCCTGCATGTCCGGGCCCGAGGCATCCGGTCCCATCCCGCCCCCCGCCATCATCCCAGCGCCCCCCGCCTGCATCCTCGAAGGTAAGCCCATGGGAGGTCCCATCGGCGACGCGCTGCTTCCGGCTCCCATCCCGTTGCCCATGTACTGCTGCTCCTGCTGCATGTCCGGCATGGGATACCCTCCCATATTGTAGTTGCCCATCATGCCTCCTCCCTGCATCCCCTGCTGCACAAGCTCAGCGGTTCGACCAGCCAGCGGTTCACATCCTACCATCGAGGCAGGAAGCTGCTGTACTGGGCTCGGTGCATATCCCTGCCAACGAGCGTCAACCCCCTCCCTCCCTCCCTGTCAGCTGCCGCGTCCCACCTGCTGCATCTGCACCTGCTGCTGCTGCGCCAGCATTGGATTGACCATGTTCACTGAGGCAGGCTTTTGCTGCGACAAGGTCAATCAGAGCCTGCACAGCTCTTCCTCCTCCACCTGCTCTAGCGTGTCCAGGGAGAAGCGGACGGACCCGCACTGGCTGCGAGCTCCCTGACGACTCAACAAGTCAGACAGACCGCAATCGGAGTTTGTTCTGATCGACCTGGAGGGACCCGAGCTGGTCTGCTTGGTAGCTGATTGATCCACATTCACTCCTGGCACTGGGTGAGCTTCCGATCTCTAACACGCCCCAACAGATTTCTCACCTCGCCGCTTCCTGACTTCTCTCGTACTCCAACCTTCGCAGGGCGTCGAGAAACGCTTTCTCCGCAGCCTGAGAGTCGCCGACAGGCGTCAGCCTGGCTCAGCGGCAGCTCACGCTCGCGCCTACCTGAAGCGACGAGCTGCCCATGGCGGGTTTCTGGGGCAGCGACTGACTCATGTGAGGCATCATGCCGGGCATTCCTCCTCGCATCATGTTTCCCATGCCCATCCGAGAGTCCTGAAAGGCGTCTCACAACATCGAACCAACTCTTCATGGCAAGCCTCTCACAGGGTACATTCCCTGGCTTGAGTGTCCGATACTCCCCATGCTGCTCATCGTCTCTGACATGTTTTCCCGAGCCGCAAGCTGGCAGAGAGGGCAAAGGATCAGTATTATGCATCAATGGACCAATTCAAGTCATTGCAAGCTTCTTCCACGTAACTGTCCTACCTGCACTGCCAGATCTTCGGCTCTTATTGCAATACTGTTACAGGCTGTGTTGCTGCAGAAATAATGTCAGAAATGATCACAGAGGGTTACAGGACTCGCCATGCTGTATTAAAAGCAGTGTTCCTGGCTGTATTTGCCAAGGTTGAGAACACAGAATCATATCCCTGTCTCTCAATCAAACAAACAACTCCTGTAACAAGGATCAGCATACCGTGTCGATCCCAGGTTCTGGAAGTTCAAGTTTTGGTGGGATCAGTGCCCGTTGCGTTTTGATTTCCCTACAACAACATCATGGGGGAATGGATTAATCTAGGTTGTTAGGTTACTGGCTCAGATTGTGGGCATCTCGGTAGACGAGCAAGGTCCGTAAGGAATCCTTCTCAGACTGGGCAGGGTCTCAGCAAAATAATCCAATCCTCAGATGCATCACTGTGACTGCAGATCCTGCGTCCATTTGGCAGAGTAGCACATCTTCCGGCCTGAACTACATTGAGCCCAAGCAGGTTGCAACTTCACAACTACTACAAACCTTGTTTCACAGGTTCCCACGCCGGTGATCTCGTCTACGTTCCATCCCCCACATCCAATGAAGGCTCGCTGCAAAGATGTGTGAGGCAAAAGCCATTTCACCACGAGAATCTTCACCTGCCCTTTCAATTTGTCTATGTTCAACATTCTAAAGCATAGAGGGTTATTTCAACGGCATGAAATGATTCGATCGGGCAGAAACAAGCTTTGCATACCGTCTCAGTGAATCAGAGGCCTCCACTATCTGAACGATTCACTTCAGTTCACCAAGGAGTCATCGCTCGATAAGAAAAACCTCTCCATCCTCTTGGAGAACCGCGACTGCAAAAATCTCCCGAGAGGCATTCATCACATCCCGGATAGACACCTTCCCCTCGCTCGCTCTGTTCCTCTGCAAAAGACCAAGACACTGTGAATCTTTGGACGTCATTCAAAGGGCTACTGGTTTGCTGACCTTCTTGCTCTTTTCAGAATCCTGTAACAAGGTCAAGGTCAGCCGAAAATCGGATCAATAGAATTCGAATCACCTTGCCAACGGCAGCCCTGACTGCATCAATCACGTCTTCGAGAGTCATGTTCCTCGATCGTTTCTGAAGAGAACCCGATCAGTAGGAGGTCAATCATTCGAGATACTGGGTTCAGCAGCTACTCGAACAACGGCTCAAATTAGAGATATCAATCCTTCACCTGCAGAGATAGCTCTGCTCCCGATGCGGGAAGGGAGAATGCCCTGTGTTTCCAAGAGCTCACAAAGCAATGACAGAGGATGGAGAGGAAGTATAATGCAAACCGGTAGGGATACTTGGCTGGAACCATTCCATCGAGGACTGTTACATTGAAATTCAGCTCAGCAGAAACAAGCTTGTAGAGCACCTGTTATAAGCTCTGTAGCTCTTTCTCTGTTTCTTCTTTGCTTCGCCATGACTGAATCCGGCACGAGTACGTGGACCTCTCTGGACCCCTTTGCTGTAGTCTTCCAACCCCAAGGGCTTTCACACTAGCCCAATAGCATGCATGATAGCGGCAGCACTGTCAGGATGGCAGGGCAGAGAGAACCACGAGAGACTCGGAGATTGGTTTGATAAGACTTTCTCACGGCTTCCTGGAAAACCAGATGAAGAGACTTCTGTCTGACTTCTTCCAACCAATTGACCTGCCATCGATGTCCCTGTTAGCAAACAAAGGGTTGACCTGTACAAGCAACAGAGCCATGCAGAGGGAGCACACGTATCGGTGCGCATGCGGCCTCTACAGGAAGCATCGCGATGTTCACAACTAAGAATGAAGCTAATAACAAAGGACATGGAGTCTTCCTCGGATAAGGTAAAAAGTGCCTCAAGCAGAAGAAAGCAGGAACAAGCAAGAAGGGCGGAAGAGGCCGGGGGAAGGGCAACCTCAGGAGTGCAGAAACAGAGAGCATGCGACAGACAACAGCTCTACATATGCAGTAAGCTAGAAGGGGGAGGGAACAACAAACAGAAAGCCAAGGAAGAGGCAGGAGCAAGGGAGGGCGCAGTGGGGGGAAAAGAGGAGGGATGAGGGGTAGTTTATCCTCTTAAATGCGGGGGTAGGCGCTGGAGATATGCGGGGTAGTAGGAGATGACGAGGGGTTGGAGAGCCAAGGGACCTGAGGGGGTGGGTGGGTTCAAATGGAGGGGTGTTCAATTAGATGAGAAAACAAGGGGTAGTCGTGGGGTGGGCTAGTTATTTTAAAAGAGGAGTTGGGTAAAACAGTTAAAAACTCATTTGAAATTTTCTTACATGAATTTGAAATCTAGCGTGAAATCTGGTCCCGATTGAATCATTTCATCACGGAAAGAAGGGTCTCCTCATAAAAAGGTAAAAGTGAAAGATTGTACCAATATTACTACGAAGGTATCCAAAAACATCTTATAAAGTTATTAATGAGTCTCATAACCAGACAAGATATGACCACCAACATTTTAAATTCATACTTACAATACTTATTAACGAATCGTTCTCCCTTGGATGGAGACGACCAAAAGTTTCACTCAACTGTTCATTTTTAGCCACGCATCTTGTTTTTCAAGGGGATATCAAATGATTTGGAAATTCTATCATGTTTTGCCATGAAACGTTGTATTTTTTCAAACCATTTGATTCATAACCCTCGTAAAGCTTGATCCAAATAGGGGTACATGAAGAGGTTCAGTTCGCAGATACTTTTGAAATGATCTCGAAGTGGTTTTGTAGGCCGCCCCTCGTCGATGTCAAACGGTCTGTCTTGCCTACTTGGGCTTGACTCAGTTTTCATCCCCTGACTTGCTTGACCGCGGTGGCAGAGACTCTCACTAAGTCATGACTGAGCTAGTGCGACTGATATGTGGAGGAGTTGAAGAACGACATCATGGCATCGACATCGACGATACTGACATCACGGTCGAGAAACTGCAAGGAGGGAGAGGGAAGCGTTGAAGAAGCGCGGCGTAGGAGAGTAGTTGCGATGCAGGAAGTGAGGATGGTATGGGGATGAGGATTATTATTGAGGATATTGGACGAGCAAGGAAGTTACAATCCCGGCAGTTTCGAGCCTTCAAGGACTGATGATGGAGCGGCCAAGGCCCGAATAATGCAGTAAGATGCAGAGCTTTCTCTGCTGAAGGCTTCAAATCATGATAAAGGTTTTCAACTGCTCGAATCTGCTCAGAGATCACTGAGAGAGACGAGATAACCAGCATTACAACTGACGGTGGCCAGTGTCATTATCTTTTCGGTTTACACTAACTATAACAACAATCAACGGAGAAGAAGAAAATAGTGACAGCAAGGACTTCTAAATGGATTGCGACAAGGAAACAGCTGAACAGAAATCGAAAACGAACTTGAAGTCAGTTTGTGATGTAAAGATTTAAACGACAATCCACGTTATCAAAGGAGATGCAAGAATGCAAACAGTACGAAAGAGTAATTGCTGTAGACGCAGGCAGAAAGGGTGATAATATCGGCAGTTGAACTCGGAGAAGACCAACAAACAAAGCGAAGATATCAGTCTTCGAGAAAACAATATTATCACGAGTCATATTTCGATCGCAACAGAAACCAACAGAAGAAGCGGGACCGGGATATTCTCCAGGGATTCTCAAGATAGACATGCAATCCCGCAACATTCGAAGAGTCAGTCGACAGATTTATCCGACGAATGCAGTTGAAAGAGTCGACGATGGCCAGGGCTAACAGATCAATCTTCTGCAGCTAAAGGAGGCATCAATCAGAATGATGACAAACTCATCTAAAAACACTTTGCCGGCGGCGGGCCCGGCCGGCGGTTGCGCCCGGCCGGCATTGCGCCGGGTAAAGTTATGGAAATTTCTTTTCCCCTCGAATAAAAAAGGTGGGTTGGGAGAAATTTGGAGGGAAAGTTTCATATTTTTCCCGAAAACACGTCCAAATAAAGACAGCCCACGCCAGATTCCCTACTGGAACAATCCTGTGAACATAATTTATTCATTGTTTTTGTTTTCGAACATGGCTTACAGTATGGCGGGGTTGTTGGGCATGGCAGTGTCTCTGGTATGCCTTGCGCCTCCTCCTGGCATCGAAGCCTTTGCTCCCTACTTGCCTCTTGTACCCTCTCACAGACAGCTGCCCCTTGCTTGCAGCCAAAGGACGAGGAGCTCAGTCCGACCATCCCTGTCGAGGTACGTGAACGTGGAATGTGAGTTATGGCTGTAAGCGATGAGTATCACACGACAAGGTGGACATGCTGGGATACACATTCCACCCTTGATGTGCAGACCATGAAGTAGAGGTGTATGAAGATGAAGAGAGGTGGGCATAGAATACAGTGGCACCATTGATTACGATGAGGAATGCCAGAGTAGCATTGGCGCAAGTTGTGCAGTATGCTTGTGAGGTTACCAACCTGTTAATGATTGTTTCTTTTCATCGACCAGGGCAGCAAAGCGTGAGTCGCAAGACGGGACAGACTCTTTGACTCCCCGTAACAAAGCCATTGAAGACGCAACCAAGAATTATGAGAAATTGAACCAAGAGTTGACAAACGCAATGAAAACTGGAGATCCGAGACTTTTGGAGCTTGACAATCAAGTGAAACAAAGTAAGCTTGTACTGATATTTGCAAGGTCAAGCACAGAACTTTCGGAGGCTGAGAGCACAGGAGACGAGATCAAGATCGCCAGGGCTCGTCAGAGAGTCAATGAGGCGAAGCTAAGCTTGCTGGTGTGCCAGAGGGAGGGAGAGCTGTTGGAGGCTGAGGGCACAGGAGACGAGATCAAGATCGCCAGGGCTCGTTTGAGAGTCAGGGAGGGAGAGCTGTTGGAGGCTGAGGGCACAGGAGGCGAGATCAAGATCGCCAGGGCTCGTCAGTCAGTCACGGAGGCGAAGCTAAGCTTGCTGGTGTGCCAGAGGGAGGGAGAGCTGTTGGAGGCTGAGGGCACAGGAGACGAGATCAA